ATTCAAGCAAATGACATAACAGATAGTTCATAGCCCAAGAATTCAAGCAAATGACATAACAGATAGTTCATAGCCCAAGAGTACCATCATTGTCACCAAAGAGCCATCTGAAAAGTGTATCCATCATCTAAGGATTTTAAGTTCAAAACACCATAAGCACTTGAGAACAATATATAATAAAATAGAGGAAAAATATGTAGCAGGTTTCCTCAGCCTCCTTGTTAGGAAGACTTGCTAAGTCATCCTGAAAACTGGGACTGGGGAAAGGATCCTAATCCAGTGAACTCACTGAAAGGTGTTCTGTTACCAGCTATATTACTCAGTGAATCACAGAGAAGGTGCCATTATTGCAGCAGTTGGCTTGGCAATTTACTAGATAAGGTAACTGATTATATAGAGTAACAATTGCCTCTGCTAGGCTAAATCAGAGAGACTGACATGAATATTTTTGCTCCTTAGTGCATTAGACCTTGGCTGATGCAACAGGGGACATGCCCAACCTGCAGACTCCATGTTTTGTTACCAGAAGAATTTCCAGGTCACCCCAGCCGGCACTTGCCCAAGATCTGATCCAAGGGAGTGATTTGCAAAGGAAATTCAGTTATCAGGTTCCAGAATTTAGTTTTGCCTTTTATTATGAGCTGATAGTGTGAGTGGCGTAAGCAGTGTGCTCTTTAGTATTGTACAAAAGAAGCTAGCTAATCTCATCAAAGCTGTAGCCAAAGAGGATAGGACAAATCTTCAGGACTTAGAGCTGAACTGAAAGGGCTTAAATTTTAAAAGTTACATTATATTTGCCCCTATCTTAGTAAGCATTTTCTTCCAGTGTAAACATCATTATTAGCACATCTCTTAGGATGTTTTTGTCTTTTTCCTTCTTATTCCACTTATCCTTTACTGTCACCCAATATAGGCTACATTTTAATTTCCTGAAATCAATGTAAGAGGAAAAGCAGAATAGCAAACAAGTAGGAAAATTCCAGGTTTTATTTTTCCTTTTAACTTTTAAAACTGCTTACAAAATACATAATTGAAATACTTAAATTTTATCCCTATCTTCCCCATTCTTCTCTGGCCTCTAAATATGTGCCCATGAAGAGATTATGAGTGACTTGAGGGTGTGGACCATACAGTGGTGTGTTGGAGCTTAGCTAATAATAGTTTGTGAGAAGTGACTGTTGAAGTTTCAGGAATTTTGTGAGCCAGTGATCAAATTGTTCATAGCTTGAAATCTGCATAGTGGGAGTATTTACACCATAGAAATTTGTAAATGTTATAAGTCAGGGCTTCTCTTCCCAAGAACTTGTTGTTAAACATTTACCAGTACACCACTGGGACCATGTCTGATCCTCCTATGTTTCTCCATGCCTTGCACAGTAGGTGTAGCATAAATATTCCCAGAATCAGAAATCAGGAAATAGAAATGAGTTAATGTGTAAATTAAGTCACTTGCTCAGTTGAATAATTGAGATCTTATGTTCATTTGTTAACATTGTCATTGGACCTTACACTTGAAGGATTTGTTTTCTGCCTTAAAAGTTTCTTAATTTCACTTTGTCATGCTGCAGGGTGTGGGGGACTGTACGTAGATGCTTCTTATGACAAAGTTAATATTCACTGGGCTAAGCTGCCATCTAAAGCTTGTCAGTAGGAACTTTCTTAGAGGTCAAAAACCTATTTTGAAAATCGTATTGTGTAAATGCTGTAAGTGTTGTACATGTCTTTAGTTAAAAAAAATCTAAATTCAGTTACCATGTAAGATGTTACTTGGTTCATATTTGTTTCCATAAATTAATGAAAATGAGACTGAGTGTTTTGACTCTATCTGTATATTTCAGTGTAAATGTATCTTGAAGTTACTTTAAATCTATTTAAAACTGCTATTTCTGTAATTGTATGCTGAATGTTTTCTTCTATAATGACAAGAGACTGGAAAATGTGGAGGACAATATCCAAAAATGAAGGAAGGCAGTCTTCTAGACACTTAAAATGCCAAGAATGTCTCAGAATTGAAAAATTCAGAAATTATAAGGCCTTTAATAATTATCTTGTCTAACACCTTGAGGTCATGGTCCTATGGCAAATTATCTTGTAAAACAAATGTTTCTTAGTTTGTTTACAACTATGATTTCACTTCCATGTAGGAAAGATTTTATCTGTGTATCAGTTTAAATGTATCCTGATATTTAAAACATCTATATCTGTTTGTGTTTTTTTTCTGTTATGACAAAGAGTAGGAAAATACTCAAGAAGGCAGTCATTGAGACTTGTAGAATCATAGAATGTCAGAGCTTATGGGGTCTTTAATGATCCTCTAGACTCTCCCTCATTTTATAAGTACATCATGCCTAAGATCCCATGGTTAATTAGTGGCTGGGCCAGTCCTACTTTGTTAAGGTCCTGGCACTTGGTCACATGCTTTCTTCACAAAATCAGGCTGTAAGACTTTATCCGTGCTGACCCTGCCATTCTTGGGTCTAAAGATAGGGCCCGAGGACTTAACACAGTAACTGATAATGTAGTGAGAATGTAGTAGGATTGTACTTTTGAAGTACTCTCCAATTCTGCAGATGCTGAAGATAATGGTATTGTTTTCTTTTTTATTGATGAGCAAACAATACTCACTGTCAATCCTGTGGCTGCTGAGAAATCTAGAACCCCATCCTTCCCAGAAATACAATGAGGCAATATTTACATCAAAAACAATCTGTAAACATCTAGTATATCGTTGTAGCTACTGTAAGAAGATATATCTTGCAATGTTTTCCCTCAAATTTATTTTCTCCGTATATGTATGTATATATAAAACACTTTCCAGCTATTATGAGATACTTTCAAATGTGTTTGTTACCTCATTTGATCCACTGACAATTCTAAAGTGCATGTTTAGTGGATATTCCTTATTTTACGGATGATAAAACTAAGGCCCAAGTAAGAAAAATAACTTATCCAAGGTCATAGCTACAAAATGGCATTTTGAGATTTGAATGCAGATCTTTTGTCACTTAGCTAGTGTTCTCTTCTAGTACTTCAGAGCTATATCCCCATTTTGGATTGACTTTGTGCAAATAAAAGTAGTTTTTTCTTCCTTGTAAATACTTGTCAAAATAAAATGAAACAGGTGGTAAACCTACTGATTTTTTTGAACTAGGAACATGGTATTGAGTATATAAAAATACATAATAGTCTGACTTTTCGTTCAGATTCTTGGTTTGCTTGGGATGGTTCCAATTAATTTAATGCCTATTGTTTTGACATAATAGTGCCCCCTCTCACTCTCAGCAGTGCCCCAGTCTTGATGATGAATTATATCTTATAGTTAATCTCACCTTCCCTGAATTATTTTTACTAGATTCAAATTTAGCAGGAATCCTCTACATTTATTCAACGTTCCTGGGATGCCTTATCATATAGCTTCTTGGGTAAGACTTCTAGGACTACAGTAACTAAGGAATATCTGATGTATAGCCAGATGAAAATAACAAAGATACATGGTTTCTGATTTTCTTGAGTGGGCAGTTTTCAGAGTTAATGGACTCCTATTGAGTATGGATCCTGGACCACATCACATTTACCTGCTCTGTTTATAAATGCTACATATTCCAAGAAGCCATTTGGGAATCTGCGTTTGGAATGAGTGTGCCAGGTATTCTGAAGTGTGCTAAAATTTGAAAACCATTGGTGTAGAAGAAACTGGCTTTCTCAGGCAGATCTATGTTTGAATTGAACTCCCATCTTTGGAATGTTGTGTAATCATGGACAAATTACTTTTACCAACCAAAACTTACGTAAAATGGGGGAAAAGACTACTTGCCTGACAGAGTTAGTGTCCTTAAATGAACATTTATTAGTCTTCATTCCCAAACTAGCAAACCTTCCATTAGTCATTCAACGTGTTGGAATTTACTCCTTGATAAAATTATGAAAGGTCTTTTATCTTCAACTACCCTTATTAAAATGAATGGAGGATAGAAAATTCAGAGAAGATGGCAGAGTAGGAGGAGTCTGAGCTCACCTCATCCTACAGACTGCTAAGATAACAGCTATACCTATGCAGCTAACTCTGAAAATGACTTGAAGGCTGGCAGAACAGACCTTTCATAGTCAATTGTAGAGAAGAGGCCACATCAAAAAGGGTAGGTAGGAGGAGTGGAAAAATGGTTGGGAACCAAAACCCCTGTGAGACTAACCACAAATGGGAGGGACACCACAAGCATGGAGAAGCAAAAAGGATCAGACCTCACACTATGTAGCCCAGGAACAGGGGACCCACATTGGGAAGGCAAGTGCCCATAACGTGTGGTTTTGAAACCAGTGGAGTTTAAATTCAGGAGCTTTTAAAATCAGCAGGGCTTAGCATACTGTAAAAATTAGCCACCTTAACTCTGGGAGAGCAGGAAGGCAAGGAAACGGATTCCCTGCCCATAAACAGCCAGCTTAATAAATAACTTGCCCAAGACAGCAGAAAAGCAGCCTTTGAAAAGAGCCTGGGGTATACGTGAAGGAGATTAATTTACTAATTTCAGAATGTGCACTGGAGGGACAGGGATCTTCACAAGATTTTGCCAGGAAAAACAACTGGCAGGCACCTTTCTCTTCTCCAGCCAGGAAGACCAGACACTTGTGTGAGCCAGTGTTCACACACTCTCCACCTATCTTGCTAGCACTGCATGCCCTGCCACTGGGTTTCTCCACAGACTCACCCCATCTAACCCACCTCCCTCAGTAGGCATCCCACACCCTTTAAGCCCCACTGACCAGGATCAGCAACATTCCAAACTGACTCCTGCCTTGAGGAGAGGGGGAGATAACGCCACACACCAGTGTGCCCACAGTTTCACCAACTGAGCCTCTTAGCTGGCTGCACAGGAAGCAAGCTCAGCCACTTCTGCGCCTGTTCCTGTGGCAGAGAGGCTAACTGCAGTTGCTTAGTCTGACCGCAGCCCACCAATGAAAGCCTCTCAGTTGGCCTTGCAGGGAGCAAGCCCTGCCTTTTGGTGTGCCTGCAACTGGCAGAGAGGCTAATTGCAGACAGCTACCCTGACTGCCAACCCTGCCTAACACGGTGGCCTTGAGAGGCCTCTCATCAGTACAGGGACCAAACCCTGCCTAGTGTGCCCACAGCAGTCAGTGGGTTCATTGCAACAGGCTGACATAAAGACTAAAGTGGCTTAGCCACAAAAGCAGGGCACAAGCAGCCCACATAAGAGACATTTAATGCCAATGGATTAAAAGAATTAATATTGTTAAAATGTCCACAATACCCAAAGCAATCTACAGAGTCAATGCAACCTTGATTAAAACACCAACAGCACTTTCTACAGAACCAAAATACTACTAAAATTTGTATGGAGCCAAAAAAGACCCCCAAATAGCCAAAGCAATCTTGAGAGAAGAATAATGCTAGAGGTATCACAATCCTAGATTTCAAGATATACGCTACAAAGCTATAATAATTAAAGCAGTATGGCACAAAGATAGACACATAGATCAATAGAATAGAGAGCCCAGAAATAAACCCACATTTACATGGTCAATTAATCTACAACAAAGGGGGCAAGAATATACAGTGGGGAAAAAAGTCTCTTCAATAAATGGTGTTGGGAAAACTGGACAGCCACATGCAAAAGAATGAAACTGGGCCACCTCCTTAACACCCTACACAAGAATAAATTCAAAATAGATTAAAGACCTAAATGTGAGACCCGAAACCACAAAACTTCTAGAAGAAAATACATGCAGTAATCTCTTTGACATCAGCCTTAGCAACATTTTCTAGACATGTCTCTAAGGCAAAGGAAACAAAAGCAACAATGAACTACTGGGACTACCAACAAAATAAAGTTTTTATATAAAACTTTTTATAATAAAAAGCTAAGGAAACTATTAAAATGAAAAAGCAACCTACTGAATGAGAGAAGATCTTCACAACTGATATATCTGATAAGGGCTTAATATCCAAAATATTAAAGAGTGTATACAACTTGACAACCAAAAAATAACTCGATCAAAAAATGGGCAGAGGACCTCAATAGACATTTTCCATAGAAATACAGATGGCCAACAGACCCACAAAAAGATGCTCAACATCACTAATTATCAGGAAAATGCAAATCAAAACTACAATGAGTTATCACCTTATACCTGTCAGAATGGCTATTGTCAAAAAGATAAGAAATAACACGTGTTGGTGAAAATGTGGAGAAAAAGAATCTTGTGCACTTTTGGTAGGAATGTAAATTGGTACAGCCACTGTGGAAAACAGTATGGAGATTCCTCAAAATATTAAAAACAGCAATGCCATATGATCCAGTAATTTCTTTACTATTTACCCAAAGAATACAAAAACACTAATTTGAAGATATATGCACCCCTATGTTTATTGCAGCATTATTTTTAATAGCCAAGATATGGAAGCAACCTATGTGTCTATCAATAGATGAATGGATAAATATGTGGTATGTGTGCGTGTGCTGGAATATTACTCAGCCATAAAAAGGGATGCATTCTTGCCATTTGTGACAACATAGATGGACCTACACAGTATTCTAAGTGAATCAAGTCAGACAGAAAAAGACAAATACCATATGGTTTCACTTACATTTGGGATCTAAAACAAAACGAATGAACAAACAGAAAACAGACTCTTAAATACAGAGAACAAATTGGTGGCTGCCAGAGAGGAGGGGACTGGGTGAAATAAAGGAGATTTAATAGGTACAAATTTCCAGTTATAAAATATTTAAATCAGTCATGGAGATGAAAGGTACAGCATAGAAGATATAGTTAATAATATTGTAATAACATTGTATGGTGACAGTGACTTCAGTGATCACAGTGGGTATCAAGTAATATATAAAATTCTTGAATCAATGTTGTACACCTGAAACTAAATACAACATTGTATGTTAATTACACCTCAATAAAAATAATAAAACAAATAAAACTAATATAATTATTAGTTCTACTTCCAGGGACAGGTGGTGACCACAGAATTCCAGAAGATCTTTCTCATGGCTGACTGTCCGTATATCAGACTGGCTGGACTCACCATCAATGTCCAGACTATTGCCCAGCACCTCAAGTCCTGGATGAACCTGTATGAGCTAAAGTATGGTTGGCAGATCAAGCCTCGTGAGCATAGTGGCCAACCTCCTCTGAGAAACAGTTTGGCCAATACTACACTTTGGGTTGCTCCCAAAGATCTTTAAGCCCTTCATTGCTCTCTACATCTCATCAGCTGCCCCATGATGACTGACGACTTTGTGGTCAGCAGCATGTGCAATAAACAAATGTATGGGGTGTATGCATCTCTTTGGGAGTCAAACATGAATCCAGAGCACCTGCTTGAAACCATAGCACAAGCCATGCTAAATGTGTGGACTAGGATGCAGTGTGAGGCATGGGAGTCATTGTTCACATTTGTCCTTTTGAAAAGGACAAAATCACCACCAGGAGACTAAAAGCCCAAAGGGACTTATTTTCAGTCCCCAGAGCCCACTCCAAAAAAAAAGGGGGGAGGGTTCTTACACACACACACACACACACACACGCCTAACATCTCACACAAAAATTAGCTCCAAATTATTAAAGACTTGAAGACCTGAAACCAAAATACTCTAAGAAAACAAAGGCAGTAAGCTCCTTGACACTGGTTTTGTCATTGAATTTTTTTTTATCTGACACCAAAAGCAAAGGCAACAAAAGTAAAAACAAATGGGGCTACATCAAACTAAAAAGCTTTTGCAAAGCAAGGGAAACTATCAATGAAAAGGCAATAAACTGAATGGGAGAAGATATTTGCAAATCACATATCTGATAAGGAACTACTATCCAAAACATATAAAGAACTTACACAACTCAAAAACAACAACAAAAACCAAACAATTAAAAAATGGACAGAGAATCTGAATAGACATTTTTCCAAACAAGGCATACAGATGGCCAACAGGTACATCAAGATATATGGTCAATACCACTAATCATCAGGGAAATGCAAATCAGAATCAGGTATTTCACACATGTAAGAATGGCTAGTATCAAAAAGACAAGAAATAATAAGTGCTGGCATTCATGTAGAGATAAGAGAACCCTTGTACACTGTTGGTAGAAATGTAAATTGGTGCAAC